AATGTGAGTGTTGTGATATTTTGGCCTTGAGCTCTGGACTTGTGTGATTCCTTTGGCCTTAATGCCATGTATGAATGATGACTGTGGGAATTAACTTGTGTACTCGGTGATAGTACATGTTTCCCGTAATAATGACTGGTGGGCAATTAGTTGATGTATATGTGTGTAGTGATCAGTGGGATCGTGTATTCCCCGAGTGTTGAGATGTGTTTATATATGGTGTTAGAGTGTGAATTCGTTTAATATCTAATTTAATTAAAATGAATGATGGGTGTATCATGTATATGATTATGGTGCAGTGATCAGTAGGATCGTGTATTCCCCGAGTGTTGGGATGTGTTTATACTTGGTGTTAGAATGTGAGATTGTTCACTGTGTGAATTGATTTATATGGTGTTGGTGTATAATATATCTATGCATATATATATATATGATGTATGATGATATGATCGGGAGGATCGTGTGCACTTAGTGTGCCTGAATATAATAGTTATGCATTGGTGTTGTGCATATCATGGTGTTTTGGTGGGATGAATCATGTCTCAGGAGGAGCGTAAGTGATTCATCCGTACTCCTTTGTGGAGAATGGTGGGGGATAGATCATGTCTCAGGAGGAGCGTAAGTGATCTATCCAGGTTCGATTGAATGAACCAATGAGTCGGTACCGCATGCATGGTGTTGAGTTGCATATTTGCATTATAATATGTTACATTGTAATTTGAACAGTAGGTTCGTCATCTGGAGTTGTTGGGGGTGAATATTGGTGTATTGGTGTGTTTTACTACCTTATTTACATGTATTACAATACCATTATATTCTGATCATTATTTCTCACCCCTTTGTTGTTGTTGTGGTCTGTGCTTCTTCGGAAGTACAGATAATCCAGGTGTTTAGCTAGCTTGGATATTGGTGTGACCGTCGAGTCTAGGATGCTCTGATACGTAACACGGGATATGGGTGTTGTAATTGTTTTATGTCAAACGTGTTGAAATCCTGTGACGTATCATGTTTTGATGTATTTTACTTTATGAAACAAATTCCGCTGTATTATTTTGAAAAGAATGAATAAAGTATTTTTATAAATTTTGGAGATGTGATATCCCACTTTTTGGTGAAAACTCTGATTATTATTATGATATTTATATTTTAGTTAATTTGGGAGTGGGGTGTTACAAAGGGCATCTTAGATTTTGGAGTAGAGTTTGAATTTTTTCTCCAATGGGGATATTGGTTCCAACAAAATGCTGAAGGATAGAGAGACACAGTGTATAAACCGCATCTTCTTCGCCTGTGGTGGCAACACCACTTGCTCCGATTACAGGAGCTTCAAACTTAATCATTTTCTTATTGTCAAGAATATCCTTTTTCTGACTATCGGTGAGATAATGATCCCACCAGCCTCTTAATTGACCAAGAAATCCAGTGGATATGAAGGTGGCAATATCTCTATCGGAATTTCCGTTTTGTTTACAAACAGTGGAATACATAATCATTCTATGTATTGTATCAAGGATTTGTTTGCCATTTAACCCATCAATGTTCCATTCATAAATGGCTTTTCCAGAATACGAATTTTGGAAGGGTTCAGGTTCTTCAAAAAGTAAATCTTGAGGAGAGGGACGCTTATAATAGTATTTCTCTAAAGGTTTAGAGGTATAAACAGAGTTTATCTCATTAGTATTTTGATTACTTATGTCGTCAGCAAACATATTTGCTAAATCATTAATTTCTTCTTCATTAGAAGAGTCTTGATTAGACATCACCGTTAAATGTAAATCCTTAAGCTTTTTATCAAGAATACGGACAAACTTGTCACCGTTAGTTTCCATTTTAAATCCTTCTATAGGAATAGGAGGTTGAATTATAGAAACATCTGGAATATTAGATGTAGAAGCTTGTTCTTGAGGTTTAGGCTTATTAGTAAGGTCAATGATAATCTTTTGACGAGCTATTTGTTTGTCTAAAAGGTCCTTTATGGATAAGAGTTCTTTTTCTATAGAAATAAATTGTTCTCCTAGTCAAACAAGGTAGGCATTAGTATAATTATTGGATTTAATTATGGAATTTAAGTCTTTAAGAGTCATCTGATTTTGTTCAACCCTTTGAAGGGTAAGATAAGGTGTAGCCTCTGTATGAGGACCCAAACTTATTGTTTACTCAGGGGGAAAGGAGATTCCATTATTTCTCCTTTGACATTTTCCCAAGGTTTTTGTAGAACTAACAATTCGTTTTGTTTTATAAAAACCAACTCTTCTTTTTGTTTACTTATAAAGTAACTAATGAACCATTTGACAAAGGGAATGAAATCTTGGTTCATAGACATCTGAGTATAGTACTCATCTTTAAAACTTGCTAATACAGGGGCAGAAAAAGTTTTAAAAAACCATTTTCTAAATTGAGTGTATCTTTCATGCTGAAACTCGTCATTTATAAGGTTTCTTAGATTACTACCTGGGGAATAATCTAACATTATAACAGGAAGTCCATGTCTGAGGGAGTAGGCGATTCTACTATAGGAGGATTTGGTTTTTGATATATTCCATGGGGAATTTTATTTTTGCTAAGTCTTATATTTTCGACTACCTCTATTTCTTCTCTTAATTGAGAAGTAGAAGATCTAGGTAATTGACTAGGAGCAGAGTAAAACTCATTCATAGAATTCACCGAATGTCTTCCAGACATAGATTTAGGTATTCTAATAATTCTTTTAGAGTTAAAGTTTATTTCCAAATCTCCTTCACTAGACTGGATTATTTGATCAACATCCTTATTAAGGATAGGTTCAGGTTCTATGGCCTGAGGAAGGTTCCAGGTTTCAGAAAAATTAATTTCATCCCATTTTAGCAACCTATTAGTTGCAACACTAGATGTTAGTATATTAGTTTGAACTAAAGTAGTAGTTCCTGGAAGCCATATTTGTTTAGCTTTAGGGTTTAAAGTGGTAAGAACTTTGTAATAAACCCTATAACATATAGCCATTATTTCACTACCCTGTTTAAAATTGTAAACATTGGTATGAATAGTTAATTGAAGGGCATCTAATAATTTTTTATCAGTCATGGATAAGCTTATATTGGGAGAGACATCAAAATAAACTGGTTCATGACACAGACTTGTCTCAATTAAAGCAGCTAAAGATTGTTTAAAATCATTACATCTACCATCTCTAATATATCCCAGGATGCTAGTATTTAATCCTAGAAAAGTTAAAGGTTTAACAGCAACTTGTATTAAACCAACATGGATATAATTACAATTTTTAAAAGGAAGTAAATCTTTTTTTGTTAAAAGTTTAATTGTCTGAGTACTTTGAGAAATTTGAATAGTTTGTTCTAAGCTTTTTACAGCAACGCGAGATAATAAATCTATTTTACCAAATTTATAAATTTGATTTGAAGGTACTGATGGAATTGTTCGTTTATTAAGTTTATCCAAATTTTTTGGATATTCCATAAGTTCTTCATGTTTAATCAAATTATTTTAATGATTATCATAATCAGAAATATGGTAGGCTAAAGATGTTGTGGATGATTAACTACCTTAGGTAAAACTAAGTAGGTAAATTTAACTCATAATCTTAGTACAAATATATCTAGGCAACAACTGATAAGTCATCTTTGCAAAAAAAAATGTTGTTTAACTATCAACTCTAAGGGATAGAAGGATGTCTCCTAAATCAAAGATGTCCAATGTATTTTAGCAAAAAATTTCTTTTCAAAATCATCTTAACACTCCCTTCACCGGAAAAAAACGATGAGTTTAAGAAAACACTAAAAAACATCTTTAGTTTTAAATAAACCCTTATTACTTGTTGCCATGATATACATATACTAATTTTAAGAGAAGAACCTACATACTTAGTTTCGTCTAAGTTGTCTAACCTTCCACAATCAAAAAATTAGTCACTAAATGTTATTGACAAGTAGTTGGATTAAGAAAAATACCTTAGTTTTGTTACCAAGAGATGATACCAGATTAATTTTCAAAATATATATAACGAAATTTGACTAAGCCTTTATTGCACATTAAAAATAAAAATCTGTAGGGATATTGTGGTTGAATAATAATAATTATAGATATCATTTTTTTTTCAAATGTGACATGAACTAACTTTATTATTATCTTTTTAATCATACGATTTATTTTTATTATAACTTAAATGAGTAGATCAATCTCTAGGAGGACTTCAAATTTCTTTCAAAATAAATAAATAAATTCAACACTGCCCTTTTAGTTAAGCAGTTGAAAAAGATCTTAGCATTTAGTAATTGGTATTAAAAATTTATCCAAAATATTATTGAAGCCAATTAATAATTTTGTAATAAATGATCTTTCAAGTCCTGCAACATAGTGTACACTGTTTCATTGTCACATACATGCGGAATTTTATATTTAGAATGTATTTATGTAGAGTTATTGAGATTTAATACAAAGTGCATAAGCAATAAAAAAAGGTTAGGGTCAAACAATCTTTTTTTTAGTTAATTCAAAGTATTATTTACTTTGAAATTTGTTGGGTAGCAACGTAAAATTAATCTAAATTTAAATTAATTCTAAAATAATTAAATATAAAAATTAATTCGAGTGATTTGATATAGCAGTTAAAATCACACTTTTAGTTCATTGTCACATATTAATTTTTATGCTTGATATAAACCTTATTTACATGCGCATTAATCAAATCACACGAAATTTATATTTTAATAATTACCTTACAAAAATAACATTATTGTATAATAATTTGAATGAATGTAAATAGATTAAATCATTTTTTATTTAATAATTTAAAAATTAATTTTTATTTTCTAAAATTGAATAAATAAAATATTGCAAATGAAACAAAGTGAGAGAATATATATTTTGTGCAATTATTAATATTGTTATTATTAATGTTATTAATATTCTCATTCTATATCCATATTCATTTATAAATAAGAGGTATCTCTTCCTTACAAATCCTCTTCATCTCAATCTCACTCTTTCCCTCTCAAACAGAAACTATGGAAGAACTTCATTCAGTTTTCATATACCAAGAGGAAGTATGTTATTGAATATTTTATTTTTTTAACATATAATTCTTCATCTCTATGATCTTATTTTCCATCACTTGTTGATTGGTTTTTCCATGAATGGCTTCTTGTTTTGTTTCATGATTACTATTCCTCATCTTTAAAAAAAACTATTTCTCTGTCGTTGCACATGGAATTTGTAGTATTTATTCATTATTTTGATAATAATAAATTATTAATGTAACATTAAGAAAGTTAATGTTTTTCTTGATAAAAAAGGAAGGTTTTTATCATTGATCTATTTTTTCCTTTAAGATTGTTTGAACATATTTTGATGATTCAATTTTTTGTTGCAGAGGGAGCATGAACAAAATCAAAAACTCATAAACACAATGCTTGAACTAGAAGCAATGAAGAACATGAATACAGAACTCCACACTCAACTTAAAATAGCATATCAAGAAAGAGATGAAGCTAGAAATCAGCTACAAAAACTAACAAACAAGTTTTGTCCAATTGATTTTCCCCAAGAAAACCCTTTCATGTTTCATTCATCGAACTCCGAATCTAGTACTCTTTCGTATAGTTCGTCTCTTTCGCCATCGTCGGTTGATTCATTCTTTGAAACGGCTTCTTCGTCTATGTTTTCAAACACTGGTATGGGATATCTCAATCATCATACAAATCCAAATTTTAGTTATTTGATGGCTCCTATTGAAGAACAAGTTCGTGATGTTCGTGGTGATCATGATTGCGGAAGCGAATATATAGATTCTATTGCTAAGGAAAGAGATTTGCCTCAAAAGGGTAAACTTTTACAAGCTGTGGTTGATGCTGGTCCTTTGCTTCAAACTATTCTATTTGAAGGAACACTTCCTACTTGGAGAAATCCACCTCATTTGCAAGATAATGTTACTTTCAGTTCTTCATTGCTTAATTTTGCTGATAATCATCTTCCTCATTCGTCTAACAATTCTCTTAAGTATGTTTTTGATTTCGATTATAATAATAGTTTCGGCCAAATCAACTCAACTCGAAGAGGTATTAGTATTTAGGATATCGTGAGTTCAAATCCACACTCATGCAATTAGATGTTTATGCAGATTTATCAACTAACTGAAGTGTTTTATTGTCTTAATGATACTTTTGGATTTTTTTTATGGTTGAAGATGTTGGGATATACTTCTTTTCTTTTTAATATTAATGATTATCTTGTCTCCAAATTGTATTGATCACTACTATTTGTTGTTATTTGGTTCAAACTATACTTAATTTTTGGTTGAAGGTTCTTCTTTTGCGTTTTTGTATGTTAAGAGAATCTAAGTGGTTAATCCTTTGATAGTTAGTACATGAAGAATTCTGGATAATATCTTCAACCATATATATACTTTTGTTACCTTATAATTTTAACTTCACATTGAGTTCATACTAATAAAATGTGACAATTTAAGAAGCATAACACCATTCAGTTGAACCACCGTGTAAATATACAAATTTAATTGACGTAATATAAATTAAATCAATAAATCCAAAAGAGTTTTGAAATGAGAATTATGAAATTTTTAGCTTAAAAAATGCGTTTTTTTAAAAACAAGATGGGCAAAGTGCCAAAGCCTTAAGAACTAGAGGGCACAATTGTGCCATTTGTTTTTAACTCCAAAGGCACTAAAGTTGGTTTAGCAAAAGAAATAACGAATGATTGTTGAAGTGGTCAAGCAGCAAGCAAAAAATTATTAAGTATTCAGTTTTGTCGTCTGCACAGGGATCGGTGCGATACAAACGCCGTTCAACGGCCTCTACATTTCTAAACCTATTGTTCAAAAGGTTTGGTTTAAAAGGTTCAAGAAACCATAAATAAAAACAGAAAATATAAAGTAAAGACTGAAATATAAACAGAGCCTTGATGGAATTGGATTTCATCAATTGATAACACATGCATTCTTCTGATCAAGTTAAACACAACGCAATCATTCGTCTAATATCCTCACGTATCACCCAAGACGGAGGTCATCTCTAATGCAACATCGAGAGAACAACCGTGTTGTCTCATTGGTGATGTCTCACCCAACAAAAACACAACACAGAGCATTAAGAGCTGATACTCACGCAAATGCTAAGCCTAAACCTATGTCTAGCATTTAGGACCTAACAGGTAATCATCCTAGATCCAGATCTGAAGAGTACATGTCTATCACGGTTCAAATCAAAGATAAACAGGTAAACAAAGACGACACTCATATCGGATAAACGACTGTTTTGCATAAAACACAATGATCAAAATACGTACACACGCTTAACCCTTTTTACATGTATTCACCTAATCTGCCAAATGGTTGTGAACATCGTTCTTCATCACTATTATCAAGCACCTGTACAATATCGTATTGATCCTACTCATGCTACCCATGCTACTTAATCAACACAATACCAAAGAGGATACTATGAATATCAACTTACAAAACCATGTCAAAAGTTTGTTCATTGATAAAAGAAAATATGAGATCAAAGATGTGAAAAGGTTTTGTCAAGACACACAAACAAGCAATCAAAGAATCAATCAATAGAGAATTCAAACTAGTTCACAAACATAAATTAGATGAAATACATAAGGTATCAAAAGATTACATCCAAACCCCAACAAGAGATCAAAGATCTTACCTCCTCCCTCTTAGGGTTTTATGTTTCTCTCTCTAAAATAAACTTGAAATGAAGAGAGATAAGCTCTGATCTGGAAAATATTACCTTCTTACCTAAAAAGCAATAAAAATACTTATATAGTACATTTAGGATCTGTCATGTTCGCCTAGCGAACAACAAATTACGCACTTGAGGTGCTTCTGAACAGTTAAACCACCCCTGAGATATTTCCAAATATTCGCTGGGCGAGAAATTCTTCGCCTAGCGAAGCCTTCGCTGTGAACTTCTCCTAGCGAGTTTATGGCCCTTTCGCCTCTGTCTCAAGTCTGGGAGTGTTCGCTGGCTACTCGCTACCTCTTCGCCTAGCGAGTTCTTCGCTGCCTCCTTCTCCTAGCGAGCTTTGTGAAGTTTTCTGGCAAGCTTCGCTAGGAGCTTCGCACGGCGAGTTTTATGATGTTTTTCTGCTATCTTGGTTTCCTTGCCCAATTTCTTGTGTCTTAATATTCACTTGTTTTGTGCCTAATTCCTGCACAATAACACACAAATCAAAGCAACCAAGGCATATATCAACAATGAAGCAAATCATCTAAAACTAGAGTGATTCTAATCACTTATACCTATAAAAAGAGTGAAAGATGCTAATATTTGATAGAGAAAATAAGCAAAGTTTGGCATCTAACAATGACACATTTAAAAAAATGTGATTATTGATAATTGAATTCAAATCATGCTAAGGTTGTAGTCGAATTCACTATTGCAAAACAAAATCCCAATGCAAAATTATCATTTTAAAAATTATACCATGAGCTTCTTAGGCACTATACGCGCTGACAAAAATGTCTTTTATTTTTGGAGATGTATCTCTAAACGCATATTTTTTTAACTTTTTAAAATTAATTCCGTATATGCATCTACGGAATATTTTCGTGTGAGTATATATAGAAGATACCTAGAATCAGTAAACTAGAAAATCAACATTGCAACGATAAAACCAACATTTATAAAATAAAATCAGCGTTACGTTGATGATTTTGGCAGAAATTTAAATACTACATTTCAATAGTCCGGTGGACGTTTGCACATCTCTAAGATGTCATAAACCATTCTTCGGATCTTCGCCTCTAACTCTAGCAGAATTTTCTCTTCGAAACCAAAGTACGTTCCCCACATTGCCCTAATATCATCTTGATTTTTGAGCTCAAACTTGATGTAAACAATGTTCCCTTCGTTGTCAACTAAAGGTGAATAATACTCAAGCTTCACAACCTTTCGTTTGTCATTGTAAGGTAGGTGATATTGGATCTCGTCTATGATATCGATGAGGGGGTGAGATCCATGAGCTTGAACGTCATCCTGAGTGTTTTGCTGTTGGAAAAGGAGACGCTTGTGACATACCAACGGATCTAGATTTGAAGAAATTGAGACATTTTTGTATTTGTGTGAATGATAACAAATGAAACCCCAAATTTATAGAAAACCTAGGTGAATATGGACCATTCATGAGCTTGAACGTCCATTATTTTTTCAACAATCACACCGACCTTCACCAGTTTTCCACCCTCGGACTCTACTTGTTTTGCCCCACCGTGGGTTTAACCTGACTTCTCACATTTTTTGTTATGTGATATCGACAAAGTAATGCATTAGAAGAAGGAAATACCTTTGCAACTGCATTCACCAATGTGGTATCACAGTCAGTAACAATCGCTTTTGGCATCTCAACTTCGTCCTTCAAAAGTGACCGACACACCTCTAATGCCCATGTAAAGTTGTCCTCTTTTTCACACTCCAGAAAAGCAAAACCAACGGCGTATGTCTTATCGGTAGACGTAACACCAACCATCTCAAATAAAGGAAGTATATACTTGTTGGTCTTGTTGGTAGAATCAAGAATGAGCACTGTCGAGAACATGTTGAACAACTTTATCGAATCCGGATGAGTCTAAAAAATACCTAGGACCATAACTCCATCGTCGCAAGTTTTGTACCGGGACACGTAATTGTTATCATCCAACAATTTCAACAGTTGTTGTATCTCACTTCTATCTCCCCTAATTGCCTTGTTGGTGCGGTACTGAATGTTATACACTTGCCTTATATTTAATATATTGTTGGGTTCCTTTCGTTTCAATGTGGCAAGTATATTTTTCGGTTGGACAAGATTCAAGGTCATGTCACTAATACATGTCTTCTCTTACAGCTTGAGCCGACATACACTAGGATGACCTTGTAACTTTAAGCACAATTTATGGTTATGCAAACCACAAATAACATTAAATTTCCACTTTTTGATACTCAACATGTAACCACGAATCTTAAAAGTACATTCACATTTTCTACTACTAGTGTCGTCTCTTTTAAACTTCCATAGAGGAGTCTGATATTTCCCGCTTCTTTCGTACAACAAAGTTACAAAAGCGTTTCTTCTTTCTGAACCATTATTTGATCTCCCTATAACCACACCAAAATTAAGTCTAGTTGCAGTCCTATGAATCTAAGTGAGCATGCTATCACGATCATCAAACTCTTGCTTGTTATTAAAGTCAACACCGACATCTACCAACTTTACGACAACCCCTTGAACATTCGGAGAAACATCATTTGTGGAAACTAATTCTTTGGAGATATTATCGGGGTGCACCATATCTATTTGTAAACAATAAGAAAAATAAACAAAAATTACAAATCTACTGTAAAAAAGCAGAATAGACACGTTCCAAAGGTGTACATCCGTAAGTGTTCATCTTCAACACGTTCCAGAGGTACAGCTCCGGAAGCAACGTGAATTTTTTTCCAAAACTTTGATGATTAATGTGATCAATGTAGTGGACAAAGTGTAATCTTTACCTGAAGTTCTATCTTCTCTTGCTCCCTTTGATTTGCTGCACGAAAAGTTGGAGTTTTAGAGTGAAAATAATATTGAAAATGTAGGGCTTTTTAGGTTGGTGAAGGTGAATGTGGAAGAAGAAAAGAAAACAATGGGGGAGTGATCTTGCAAGTTTAAAATATAGCAGAGACTTTCGTAACTGTACCTATTGAACATTCTGGCGCTTAGACGATCCGGAGGTGCATCTCCGGAAGTTTCCACGAACTGATTTATTTTCAAGTTTTTCCCAACGTATACCAGTAGAAAAATGTTCTGAAGCTGTAGCTCCTGAAACATCCAAATTTTAGCAAAAAAAAGGTGCATTCAGATGTGTATCTTCGGAAGTAGGGGGCAAAGATAAAAGCTTGTGTTTATTAAGGAGGAGTTAGAAGAACAGAGGAAGATGTTAGAAGCCGAGCGGAAAAATCAGAAGAAAGACATAGAAAAGTTAGAAGAGTTATATACAATAAGTGTTTTATCTGAAATGATAGTGTTTTATATGAAATTTATGATATATTGTGTTTAATCTGAAAAGTTAGAAAAGATAGAAAT